TGCCTAATTATACCAAAAGGACAAGGTAGATACCCGGGCATTATATTGTTATAGTAATACATGGCATTATATTAGTAAGTGCAGGGGGGGGGGGGGCACGCATAATTTACACAAAAACAAATCCACGGATAGTACGCATAACAAACTAATATATCAAATTAAATGAATGGATACGGGGCCTAGCCGTAAGCGTCCACTTTGCGCTGTGTAATCCCGTGTCTGTATTGTTACAGACTTCACTCAAATTTGAAAACAATCCTGAATATAACCCGCAGAAACCATTGTGTAATGCCAGCATGAGCTATAGCATGAGCATTACACAATATAGAAATATGAATGTAAGCATAGATTGCCTATACAAGTAACTATATCGGTGAAATATACATAAACAGGTAGTCCAAAACTAAAAGCTCTAAGTTCAGTGAGAAACATTTTAGTATTCAATAGAATCGAGGTATATTGAATATATAGTTAGGGCATATGTTCCATTTACCACAAAAAAAATAGAGTTAAAAACAAACAATACTGAATACAAAGAAGCAGATGAAAAACTAAACCGTCTCAAAAGACAGCCGTCTGCTGACGTGACGTAAAAGGCGGTTGGTTCCCAATGACGTCTCAATGAGAGGGTTTCTTAGCAGGAACATTTCCGATGCTTCGAATACCGTGGAATCTTTTGGAACTTGAATAGATGTTTGCTCCGTCTGTGATAGGTTTTCCCTATTTCCTCCAGAAGCAGACCAGGTAATCGGCATCCGGTCGATTACCCTTTAACATAGGGCAATACCCCTCACAAGTCTGGTAAAATCTATAATCTGTTTGTGGTCGTTCAATTTCGATTGTGGCGTCTCTGGCTTCGATACACCTGTTTATGGCTCGGGACGTTGTCCTCTCAATGAGAAGGTTTCTTATTAGGAACATTTCCGATGCTTCGAATACCGTGGTATCTTTTGGCACTTGAATAGATGATTGCTCCGTCTATGTTAGGTTTTCCCTATTTCCACCCCACACCAGAAGCAGACCGGGTAATCGGTGACCTAGTTGGACGGAGAGAGGGGTGGAAAAAGAAAGAGAAGCCACGGACATGAATATGTTGACCCTGAAAATGACCGTTGTCCTCTCAATGAGAGGGTTTCTTAGCAGGAACATTTCCGATGCTTCGAATGCCGTGGTATCTTTTGGCACTTGAATAGATGTTTGCTCCGTCTATGGTAGGTTTTCCCTATTTCCACCCCACACCAGAAGCAGACCAGGTAATTGGCATCAGGTCGATTACCCTTAAACATAAGGTAATATACCCCCACAAGTCTGGTAAAATCCATAATCTTTTTATGGTCGTTCCATTTCGATTGTGGCTGGCTCGGGGCGAATCTGATGTTGGCCCTGAAAAGGGCTGTTGTCCTCTCAGTGAGAGGGTTTCTTAGCAGGAACATTTCGGATGTTCCGAATACAGTGGTATCTTTTCTGGCACTTGAACAGATGTTTGCTACGTTTATGGTAGGTGTTACCTTTTTCGACCCCACACCAAAAGCAGACTAGGTAATCGGCGATTAGTCGATTACCCCTAAATGTAGGGTAATTCCCCACCACCACCACATATCTGACAAAATCTATAATCTTTTTGTGGTCGATCCATTTCGGTTGTGGCGTCTCCGGCTTCGACACTCGTATTTATGGCTCGAGACGAATACCGTGGCCTCTTCTGGCACTTAGAACAGATGATTGCCATGCTCCGTCTATGGTAGGTGTTTCCTATTTCCTTCCCACACCAGAAGCAGACCAGGTAATCGGCACCCGGTCGATTACCCTTAAACATAGAGTAATACATACACACACCCCACCCACCCACCCAAAATCTATAATATTTTTGTGGTCGATCAATTCGATTGTGGCGTCTCGTTGGCATCGATACTCCTATTTATGGCTATGTTGGTCCTGAAAAGGGATGTTGTCCTCTCAATGAGAAGGTTCCTAGCAGGAACATTTCGGATACTCCGAATACCGTGGTCTATTCTGGCACTTGAACAGATAATCGGCACCCGGTCGATTACCCTTAAACATAGAGTAATATCCCCCACAAAAGTCGGGCAAAATCTCTAATCTTTTTGTGGTCGATCCATTTCTTTTGTGGCGTCTCTGCCTTCGACATTCCTATTTATGGCTCGTGACGAATATGTGGTCGCTTCTGGCACTTGAACAGATGGCAGCCCCGTCTTTGGTAGGTTTACCTATTTCCACCCCACACCAGAAGCAGACCAGGTAATCGGCGTCCAGTCGATTACCCCTAAACATAGGGTAATTGTAATCACGCGTAGTTAATGAACGTGAATGCATAGTTATACATAAAAAAAACATTAACATTTTGGTAAAAACATAACCATTATCAACATGTGCATCAAATTCTGGCTGATAATTGACCTATGGTTGGTAGACCAGATAAGTTAATGTCTCCTTCTTTGGTCGTGTGAAATAAAGATGTTTATACCATATGTGGGATGGAAATTAACGTCAGGGTTATCGAAGACCTGCAGAAATTAGGGGGTATAAATTAGGGTGTAGAGCGAGTTGGATCAGAACTCATTCAGAAATTCCTAGCAGCCATTATTATTGAGAACGAGGAACCTTTAAGGCCATTACAGCTTCGCAATAAAGTTGTAAAACAATTGATGCTGTAGTCTTGTTACGATCACGAAGAAACAACAAACACAACAAGAAAAATGTCCAATAGTACTTTTTGCAGACCACCTAATTCTAAAAATGACGTAGATAACTATATATATACTCTTCAAAAAAAATTAGGAGATATTGAGAAACAATACAAAACTGCGGAAATGCACTGCTGTTTTTGTTAAGAGGTAACCAGTGTATGTTAATTACCGGCCAATTGCCTGCACATGAACTATGTAGAAATTTAGACACCCATTGCAAGTCAAGACATATTTGAGATTTTTTGTGTCACAATTCATATTGTCCATGACCAAACTGCATGTGTGACTATCATACATAAAGACCTAGAGCAATAATTGGGGAAAACTTGGCTGGTCTCTTTCAACCCACAGTATCTTCTAAAAAGGACTGAATATTGCCGACACTTTCACTAGACAACACTGCAATAAAAAACTTCGAGCACAAGCATTTGGGGCTGACTTTTCAAAATGACTGTAAACTTGATAGACATATCGACAATATATTGACGAGGACTTCTAGGCTTGTAAACTTTATCCGCTCTCTGAATAAAATAGAAATTCTTTGAAAACAAGGTACATTTCCTATATTCTTCTTCATTTCGACTATTGTGATGTCATATGCCATGGGTGCACCGACGAACTTACTAACAAACTAGAATCATTGCAGCTGGACGCACTCAGGTATATATGTAGTGATGTTAGGGGAACCAGTTGTAGACTTTTATACGAGGGGAAGGGATCATAAACTCTTTTACAAAATTATGAATCATCTCCGTGAATTGCTATCATTCCCCGAAAAGCCTTATAACCTTCGTAACAAATCTAATTTATCAGAGTACTTTTGCAGGACATCTTTATTTTCGAAATCATATATACCATCTACGATTAAGGAATGGAACCCACTTTCTGACTTTATAAAATCATCTTCCTATATCAATATCTTTAAAAGTAAATTGAAACAAGTTGACAAAGAAGCGCCATCATACTTTAGTTCAGGAAAAAAGAAAAAAATCAGAGTTTCACGTGGACGTATATGGTCTTCGCCCCTGTCTGTCTGTTCACATTTTGATTGTGGAAACTCAGGTCATAATTTCTATCCGATTTCGACGAAGTTTGAAATATGGAGGTTTATATCCTAAAGATCGATCGGTTCCTTTCGATATTGACATGTATCGGATCGCAACCTCATGGGTTATGGCCCCTGATTGTACTGAAAAAATTCCTTTTTTTTTTTAGCTTGTGGACACTCTATTTTTATCCGATTTGGGGGAAACTTAAAATGTTTGTTTATACTTTTAATTTATAGGGCTAACCCACGTACAGATCTCGTTCCTTTTTTTCGAAATTAGCGCATATCGGAACGGAACATACGGGATTATACGAAATATCGCGTTTTTAGCTTGTCAATTTTTATTTCATTTTAAAAACCGTTCCAATATATCACCGTTACACTATAACTGCGGTTAAGTTGTAATTTCGTGAAAATTGGACAGGGACTGTCTGACGAAATAGAGAGAGAGAGAGAGAGAGAGAGAGAGAGAAATGGGGTTTAACGTCCACTCGACACAAACTAGGTCATTTCGGGACTAATATATGGTTTAATTTTATTTCAATAATTCGCTTGCGCGTAGGGGTCTTTGGCAGTGGGAAACCGGAGGACCCGGAGAAAACCCACGAGGTTGGACAGGCGACCCTACTCCTTGTCACGTACAACCGGGGAATCGAAACCCCGCCAGTTGAACTGACGAAATAGCCGCTTCCCTTAACGCAAATAGTATAATAAACATTTAATCTGTGGACCCTCTGGACGTCACAATTTTTATCCGATTTTGATGAAACTTACAATATTATATGTTTATATCCCAAAGATCTCGGTTCCTTTGATATTGACGGTAATATCTTGGATTATGGCTCCCGATTGTACGAAAAATTGCCTTTTAAATCTTCTCTGCCCATGTCTCGTAAAATGTGGGCATATCTTGATTGACAACCACTTAGTTCCTTTATTGTTTGGATCTTTCCCAAATTAAAATTTCAACATTTTTTTTATTTTTTTTTTATTTAGCAGGTCTTTTTTTCTTTCCCAAACAACATTATTTATTTATTTATCTTTTCTAATCTAAAATAATAGTTGGGGGGGATACCTTCTCTAATAGTCATGCGCCCGGATACAGTCAGGACGACCAAAAAAAGGTTTTGTTTTTTGTAGTGGGGGGGGGGCCTGGGGGAGGGGACTTTCCCAGTTCTTCAATATAAAAATATTTTTTTAAAAATATAGTGTAGGGGAAATAACTCTATATGAAAGAGAGATAACTCTATTTAGTGCTGTCCTCAATCAATGTGTGTAATTTGTGTCGTTCTTTGCTCATAAGTTAAAAATGTTTGAAACGAAGAAGAACTGATTTGTCTATGGTGTCATTGGTAGGTACATATTTTATTGTCTTTTAAAAACAAAAAGATATGAAATGTGCGATTAGTTCAACTGGTAGTTAAATTTGTAGTTGGGTCAGTTGCAACCTGTTGTACTGCCATAGTTATAAAAGGCTAAACTGAAAGTAGACTGAGATGACGATGACAGCATTTAAAGTAGCTAAGTCTCTAACTCAATATCATCCAAAATCTTCAACATTGAAAACACGATTTATTGGTCAAATTAAATCAACATTCATGTTGTGATCTTACCGGGAAAAGATGGGCTTTTGATATCCAATATTTAAGACAAAATAAACATTTTACCTGGTACACTAATCGTGTACCATAATGCGCTTCAGCCCCAGATGTATCAGGAGACTCGAGGGACGAGGCTAGACACATTGCACCAAATCTAACGGCTAATTTATGTAGGCTGGAATAACCAGCTTATTTCGCCGAACATAACTGATTTGAAATTGGAGTAAAAACGGAAACCATTGAATGTAAATCAGACTATACACATTCATATTACAGTATTATATGCGTTGCGACCCACTTTTGTCAATTTCTAGGTCCCAAATGTTAGCGATTTAGCTCCTTTAACAATGGTCTCACTAGAAATTGTTTGTTTTAGTATCCTTGGTGTTGATGTAAGGCCTGTTTCTTTTTAAATATATAGATTTCCGTATCAAGTAACTGACTAATTTTGCTAATGTTACACTAGGCTCATCATAGACATTGGAGTGAAGAAACTGGCATTTTGTACCGGTAGGCGGGCCCATTTCATTTCGTCACCATTGGTGTAATTCTCCTTAAATTGTAACCATTTTGTATGCATTCTTATTTATTATTATCAATATCTATAGACAAATGGGTAAGCAAAAAATTTTGTTTAATTGTTACTGCTGTCAGAGATGTGGGGGAGGGGGGATTTATATCAAGTAGAATGCTCCTGGCTCTCAAATCACTGCCTTATAATTTGGTGGTACTTTTTACCGCCGACTTAATGCTTTTTACCGCCGACCGTCGTGTAATTACCGCCGACCAAATACTTTTTACCGCCGACCGCATTGTAATGACTTTCGACCGTAATATAATTACCGCGACCAAATACTTGTTAAACCCGACCAAATGCTTAATGATTCCTTGTTACCGCCGACTATTTTACGATTGTTTTTTTTTTATAAAAAGAATACAACAAGAATGTTATTTTTTATTTGAGGTGTAATCACGTACAACTGTCGAAAAACATTCATATATATTTTAAAGAATATGGAAGGACAAAACTACAATTTAGATATTGAAGGGCAAATATATCAAGATTGTTTCAGCTACTGGTTATAAAAAAATAACATTTAAGGCCTATCTTCTATTGGTGCGAGGGTTAGGGTTAGGGTTGTCGACCATATTTATATATAATAAAATCTATATTTTTATCAAACTCTGTGTATTTAACCAAATCAATTTTTTTGTCGTGTAATTACCGCTGACCAAATACTTTTTACCGCCGAGCGCATTGTAATGACTTTCGACCGTAATATAATTACCGCCGACCAAATGCTTGTTACCCCCGACCAAATGCTTAATGATTCCTTGTTACCGCCGACTATTTTACGGTTGTTTTTTTTTATAAAAAAGAATACAACAAGAATGTTATTTTTTATTTGAGGTGTAATCACGTACAACTGTCGAAAAACATTCATATATATTTTAAAGAATATGGAAGGACAAAACTACAATTTAGATATTGAAGGGCAAATATATCAAGATTGTTTCAGCTACTGGTTATAAAAAAAATAACATTTTAGGCCTATTTTCTATTAGTGCGAGGGTTAGGGTTAGGGTTGTCAACCATATTTATATATAATAAAATCTATATTTTTTTATCAAACTCTGTGTATTTAACCAAATTTATATTTTTGTCACTAATAATTTAATTAATTTTATATAGTCGGCGGTAACAAGGAATCATTAAGCATTTGGTCGGCGGTAACAAGTATTTGGTCGGCGGTAATTATATTACGATCGAAAGTCATTACAGTGCGGGTCGGTGGTAAAAAGTATTTGGTCGGCGGTAATTTCACGACGGTCGGCGGTAAAAGTATTGGTCGGCGGTGGTCGGCGTTAAAAAGTACCACCCCTTATAATTAAGACCCAACAATCCAGACTCACTCATCATCAAGGCCATCATCAAAATCCCAGGAAAAACCCATGAGAAATTGACCCATGGGTTCCACATGGGGTTTTGGAAATGGGGAATAACACTGGAATGTCCATGGGAAAAATCCCCAAACCTCTCCAAACACATGGAATTTTCATATTTGTAGTGGTCCTTAAAACAGTGATCAATGTTGCGTACGAAAAGAAATGGGGTTTTAACTGCTCTGACTGGACTAATGAAAACGAACATATGCCATACAGTGTGCTATGAGTGAAATTTGGCGATATAAAATCCACTCGACACAAACTAGGTCACTTTGGGACTAACATATTGTTCCATTTTATTTTAATAATTTGCATGCACATATAGGGGTCTTTAGCCTCGGCAGGAAACCAGAGGACCCAGAGAAAATCCATGAGTTTGGACAGGCAACTCTACTCCTTTTAACGTACAAGCAGGGCATCGAAACCACACCACTTCACTCAGTGACAGAACATCTTAAACTATTCGGCCACCCAAACCCCTCATGACCATACAGATATTGTTGTTAGCGTGTGTGCATTGTATCATAATGTCTGTCACTGAGTCAACTGGCATGCTTTCAAATCCCCAGTTGTATGTGACAAGGAGTAGGGTCACCTGTCCAACCTCCTGGGTTTTCTCCAGTTTCCTCCTGCTGCTATTGAAATAAAATTGAACCTATATATGTTAGTTCCGAAATGGCCTAGTAAACCTCCCCTCTCTCTCTCTCTCTCTCTCTCTCTCTCTCTCTCTCTCTCTGACAACCATTTTCAAGGCCATCAACCTGATTAAATATTATCATGTATGACCTACAGTAGGCTACAATGATCTGACAGGAAATAGAGCAACAGAGGGCTGTAGATGACAAGTAACCCACATTTAACTTGTCAAATATTCAAAACATTAATAACATAATTTACATATTTACATATATATATCATTCACCAAATACTGACTGTTGAATATAATATATAGTTTTATTATAGCCAGATTACATAATCTGTCTATCAACGTTTATTTCATCTCATTTTTCCTGAATTGGCCAGTCAAACTATACCAGGAAGACTATGTAGATTAATGTCATGTTATGTATTATATACTTTTAACTTTTTGTTGTACATTACCTAATATTATTTATAATCCATTGTCATGGAAGTCTATTATTCTAAGCATGTATATATATATTGTATTCGCAATATTTCGTAAACATTATTAATATCTGAAGACGCCCATAGAAGGCACACATGATTTAATGTAAAGTGGAGAATTTTTTACCTGGACATATTTTTTATTTATTTATGCATTTATCTACCGTAAACAAAGAAGTATATGTATTTTATCTACTTTAATATATATTTCAGAGAATTCCACATTTCACAAATATGTTTAAAGAATCTTCTTTTTAAATTGGTAAGCTATACAATTATAAGGTTACCAATATACATCTAATGTCCTGGTACATAAACATGATTATTGTATAGCTTACCAATTTAAAAAGAAGGTTCTTCAAACATATTTGTGAAATGTGAGGTTCTTTGAAATATGCCTGACCCCACCTCCCCTTTACAGTACTATTTTATAGTAAGTATGTGTTATAGTTTATTATTTTTAGTGTTGTCACGGCTAGCAAAAATCGTGTTATAGTTTATTATTTTATAGTTAGTATGTGTTATAGCAAGTATGTGTTATAGTTTATTATTTTATAGTAAGTATGTGTTATAGTTTAAGTATGTGTTATAGTTTATTATTTTATAGTAAGTATGCGATATAGTTTATAATTTTATTGTAGATTTCTGTCATATTTGTCATCTATTTCATGGAGATTGAGGAAAATAATTCCCAGTGAATGTGAAACACATATCTATCATCCATGTTGTGGAGACTGAAGAAAATATTTCCCAAAGAAAATGAAACAAGGAAATATTTATTTGTTTATATTATTTCAGGAAAGGAGAGTCACATAATGAAAATTGTGAATGTGTTATTGATTGAAGAGGAAATTAAACGCTATGAATGGAGGAGAACCAGCCATAAAATACAGAAAGAATCTCATCTTTCTTTTTAAAGCCCCAAAAGAAAATGAAGAAGATAAATTTGTTGTGGTAAGTTTGTTCGGGTATCTTTTAAGTTTTGTTGTCTGGCATCTGGTCTTGTTACCATTCTAAATCACAAACATATATGATGTCTTATTTCATTTGATCCGTCGCCTGTCCAACCTTGTGGGTTTCCCCCGGGTCCTCTGGTTTCCTCCCATTGCTAAAGACTCCAATGCGCAAGTGAATTATTGAAATTAAATTGAACCTTATGTTAGTCATGAAATGACCTAGTTTGTGTCGAGTGGACGTTAACCCCCATTTCTCTCTCTCATTCAATTTGATCCGTATGTTGCTGAAAAGGTAGTCCACAATAATGTTCTAGACGAGGAACACGAGGTAGAAGCACGTCCAGAACGCATTCCAATGAAATGTTTAGATGACAATCTGTCCAGCATTCATGCAATCAGGAAGTATTTCACATTTGACGTTTGGTTTCTTGTTGAGGGAAACCTGAAGATTTTAAAGGGTAGTGATGTTTGGTTATTTGTGACTTGTCACTCGCCAGAGTCAGACAGCATATGATATGCTGTGATTCATGTTTGGATTGCTTTCAACTAGGGGATTGGATGGCCGAATGGTTAGCATGTGCACGCTGTATCATAAGGCCTGTCATTAAGTCAACTGGCATGGTTTCGAATCCCCGGTTGTACGTGACAAGGAGTAGGGTTGCCTGTCCAACCTCATGGGTTTTCTCCAGGTCCTCCTGTTTCCTCCCACTGCTAAAGACCCCTACGCGAAAGCGAATTATTGAAATAAAATTAAACCATATGTTAGTCCCGAAATGACCTAGTCTGTGTTGAGTGGATGTTAAACCCCATCTTGGGTTATACGTGACAATGAGTAGTGTTGCCTATCCAACTTCGTGGGTTTTCTCCGGGTCCTCCGGTTTCCTCCTACTCCTAAAGACCCCTATGCGCTAGCGAATTATTGAAATGAAATTAAACCATATGTTAGTCCCAAAACGACCTAGCCTGTGTCGAGTGCACGTTAAACACATCTCTCTCTCTCTCTCTCTCTCTCTCCCTCTCTCTCTCACCCCACCTCACCCCACCTTTGAATTATCTAAATGGTTTTTTTTCATTATTATAAAGAGTTTACTGGATGCCAAGTATAAAGTTGTGACTATACCCGTGCTAGCGTTTAAGTACGTGAATACAGATGTATTGACACAGTGTTTTCAACATGTAGATGATTATTCGGCTATAATATTTACCAGCACCAAGGCAGTGGATGCCGTTAACCTTGCAATAAAACAATGTAAGTCAAACAACACAGTTTTTTGTGATAAAATTTAGCCTCGAAAGAATCAACATATGTTTAGCGCAATATAGCCCGATTGGAGCTGACGTGCCATAAAATCACATTTCGTTTTTTGTGATAACTCTATTAAAGGGGCATGATGGAAGATTTAGATAAAGAGCCAATCTGATTAAAACACAGATCCTATTTCGTTTCATTTTTTTTATAGTTCAAAATTTCATTTTACTTGTCTTTACTAAACTAAGATCTGGAAGAGTTGTTATCATTGACGTGTTCTGGTTGATGTGAGAGATTAGCCAATGAAACAGTCTATTACAACGAGCTTTTGGCGTGTGGTACACGGAACGGTGGGTAATCCACTAGAAACATCAATGCTGATAAGTTAATCAAATGTCTAGCATCATAGGGTCAAAAGCCGCTCATGACTTCTGATGCGACCTACCAAAACAACTGGTCAGATGATCATGTAGTATAGGCCATCAAAAGTATAAAAAAACGAAACAAAATATAGATCTATATTTTAATCAGATTGATAAAGAGCTGACAGTTCTCGTTTTAAAAAATAGATAATGTAAAGTGAATATGCTGAAAATTTCAGTCCAGTGTAAGAACTAATTGTGTAGGAAGTCCAGTAATAAATATCTGTGAATACTTTGTGAACTCTCGGCCTGATCTCATCAATTATTACGGGGGGTTGGGTTGGGTTGGGTGGCCGAATGGTTAGCATGTGCGCGCTGTATCAGAAAACCCGTCATTGAGTCAACTGGCGTGGTTTCGAATCCCCGGTTGTACCTGACAAGGAGTAGGGTCGCCTGTCCAACCTCGTGGGTTTTCTCCGGGTCCTCCAGTTTCCTCCCACTGCTAAAGACCCCTACGCGCAAGCGAATTATTAAAATAAAATTAAACCATATGTTAGTCCCGAAATGACATAGTTTGTGTCGAGTGGATGTTAAACCCCATTTCTGTCTGTCTCTCTCTCATCAATTATTGCATTCATATTCATCATTAAAAAATGAAGGCAGTTATCTCTTAAAGGATCACATTCACAACAGGTCAACGCCCATAAAATTAATTTAAGAATGACATTTTAGAAAATCCATTTGCTTACATTGCCAGTTCAATATCTAACACTCTTAAACATACATTATGCATGAGCTAAATCAGCCTGTTTCAGGTCTTTCTTTAGGCCTGAAATGTTATATAAACTATTAATTAGACATTAATTATTATATCCAGACCATAATCAACTCTCGATGTCAACGCTAGCCTGCGATAATTGTTGGATTATGATCTGATTTGCTGCATAACTTTCCATCTCGATTCAACGATTAAATGGATAATCGAGACTATGATTTTTGTCATATCCGACTTTAGTAATTATGATCGAGTTCATAGTGGATCAATTTGACTGAAATTTTCTGCAAATTGCCTTTACATTATCTAGTTTTTAACTATTATAGTGAGAACTGCCAACTCGTTATCTAATCTCCCATAATGTATCTTTAATTTTTCTGTTGTAAAATTACTCTCGTATTGGGCTATATCAATGTTTTTTTAGTTAATCCTAATTTGTCGTCACGATGCATCTTTCTTTATAATAATGCAAGAATTATAAAATTTATTGCGGGAACGGGCGCAACTCTTACTTGACTTGGCCAAATATACTGGATAATCAACCACATAAAAAAACCAACTCCCGGTTAACCATGTCCATACGTTGAAGACTAGGAGGTTCTGGGTGACCGAGACTTCAACATGTCATGCGTCCCTTTTTAAGTGACGGGGGGAATTATCTGAAAACTAGAATATTTTTTCTATATGGCCAAAATTATCGCCAAAATCAAATTTTAATCGACACTTACATATTTTTATCACCAATTGCGATTTTGGCGACCGACAGTGTGAGCCCTTATGGCCTAATTAAAACATGTTTATTTATTTATCGACAGGTGATAATGATGTAAATATCAACAATATCGTATGTTATGTGGTTGGTAAATCTACAGCAGATGCAGGTAGGTTGTACTACACATATATTTATTTATAAAGCAAAACCTTTAGTTCATATATTCTGAAAAATACATTATGTAAGAGCTAAATCTGCCAATTGCAGGTCTTTATTTTGACATCAAATGTTATCTTAATTCTTATTTAGATATTTATTCACACGACAAGCCTATAATCAACTCTCTAGACCATCGCATGGCCCCGATTTAAATGAATTTGAAGAACTGAGAGATTTCAAAATTTAACAAAAAAATGGATAATTGAGACTTAGTCTCGGTTGATAGGTGCCGTTGCTAAGATAATAAACGATCTACCCCTCTTCTTCAAACAGTCATAATTACTCTCTCTCTCTCTCTCTCTCTCTCTCTATAAGGTTATGGTGAACCAGAGTGTATTTGTTTGTATCTTTCAGCTAGAAGAGCAGGTTTTTCTACTAAAGGAGAGGAAACAGGAAATGCTGTAGAGTTATCCAAGTTGATTATATCCGGTATGTCTCAATACTCTCAAAATATTTTATTTCAACACCATATCTAGGTTATTATTAGGTTTCACAAACTACCATATTCTATGCCCACATCCCTTGAAGCTCAACTAAACCCACCATCTCATTCTTTTCCCTTTTTTTATTGTACTCTTCTATGACTACAACATTTGGCCTGTCGGCCTGGTAGGCTCAAAGATTCTCTTTCCATCAGCATGATTGTAACTGAATTATGATAGCTATACAATTAATGCAGGTGGTGGGCGTGTTTTCCATTTTGCTGGACAAAGGGCATGACAAGAACAGCTTCAAGTCGTTCAAACGAGACAAAAAAACGAGGTACCATATTCACCAAGGCATACAAATAAAGAAGCCTTGACAGTTGGAATTCTTAGCACACTATATGGCATATGCCTGTCTTCATTTGCCCAGCCAGTGCAGAACAGTAGGACGTTAAACCTCTTTTCATTTTACAGTTAATGCACTAAGGGAGATAACTATGATTTTTAATTTTTCTGGTTTCAGACCACAGTAAATTCAGTGATCTACCAATTTTATATCCATGTGCCAATATACGAAGAGATACCCTCTGTGATCTGATGAAACAAAATGGTATGTGTAACGATTTTTTACATTTTACCTTGAAGTATTGTGTATCTTCGTTAGCCCAGTAAGTGCAGAAAAGTAGGACTGCTTGTGTATGGCTTCTATATCAGCCTTGCCTCCAGTTTTTATCTATATAAATAAAATCAATGTGTGTATGGTCGCCCATCACACATCGCCACCGTGCTCCATGCCCACATATGTGTTATCAAATTAACCAACCTAACCCTGTGAATGATTTAGACCATCGAATTTGGGCCCTGGGCGAATCACAATTCGTCGTCGCACTCCACCCCCACATGCGTGGTATCAAATTAACCAGTTTGACCCTGTAAATGTATGTAGAAAGGCTGTAGCTTATTGGATTTGTTGTTGTTTTATCAGATATTATATATAATAATGTTAATGTTGTTTTATCAAATATTATATATAAAGAGATTGTAGCTTATTGGTTTTGTTGTTTTATTAGATATTATATATTATATATAATGTTGTTGTTTTATCAGATATTATATAATATTGTTGTTTTATCAGATATTATATATAATATTTGTCTTGTTGTTTTATCAGATATTATATAATATTGGTATTGTTGTTTTATCAGATATTATATATATTGGTCTTGTTGTTTTATCAGATATTATATAATATTGGTCTTGTTGTTTTAGCAGATATTGTCTAATATTGGTCTTGTTGTTTTAGCAGATATTATATATATTATTGTTGTTGTTTTAGCAGATAATATATATAATATTATTGTTGTTGTTTTATCAGATATTATATATAATATTGTTAATGTTGTTTTATCAGATATTATATATAAAGAAGTCATAGCTTATGAAACGTGTAAAAATGAGAGATTAGAAGAAGCGGTTCAGACATCCATTGGTAATCAGGTACGTACTTGAATTATTTGATGAAATAACTATGTAGACAAAACAGAGCCCTGTATGGACTCAGACAGTCACAAATATTAGCATAGATTAGCTTAGCCAGTCACTATATATAAGAGAGAGGGAGAGAAATGGGGTTTAACATCCACTCGACACAAACTAGGTGATTTTATTTCAATAATTGGCTTGTGTTTGGGGGTCTTTAGCAGTGGGAGGAAACCGGAGGACCTGGAGAAAACCCACGAAGTTGGACAGGCGACCCTACTCCTTGTCACATACAACCAAGGAATCAAAACCACACCAGTTGACTCAATGACAGACCTTATGATTCAGCGCGCACACACTATCCAACCCCCATAAATCAATCACTATATGAAATGAAGTTCAAATTGCAGACATGGAACAATATTTTATTTATTTCGTAAATTTGATGTTTGATTTATTAAAAAAAAAATAATAAAGTTCTTATTTGGTGTGCCTTACCCATTTTGTTTATATGCAGCCCACTATTTTAGCCTACATTTTTCATTGGGTTTCAATTCCCACAAACCCCTGTGATAACATGGTCCCGAAAAACACAGGAAATATCATGTGTAAATATAAAACCATTGTTTACATTCTTTTTTCATTAGCTCAGTCGGAACAGATCAGTAGGATGTTACACCCCATTTCATTTCATTTTATTTTTTTTTCTCTCTCTTTTTTTTTTAATTAGGGAATACCAGAATATTGTGTATTTTTTAGTCCATCCGGTGTACAGTTCACCCATCCTCTGGTTGTTAAAAGTATTCTACCATTACATCTTACAAAGGTAAGCATTGTAGCAGACAGGTATACCATGTCGACTGGTGTACCTGAAGTATTTTATATTTAGTATCCAAGCAAACCCTTCCCAATAGAATAATTGTTTTTCTGCTTGGGAGTCACAGTGACCAAGTGGGTAAGACACTGGCTCGCTAGCCTGGAGGTCGCATGTTCGATCCCTGCATTGGCCAAGAAAGTTCATCAGGATTTTCCGACATGGTTTCCCCTTTTCAATGGTTCAGGACGGAGGGCCTGACAAGGACAAGTAGAAGTCTACTTTTTCGAATGGGACAAAAAACCAAGGTCCTGTGTACACATTGGTGTGCACTTTGCACGTAAAAGATCCCTTGACATTTTGACTTTGATATAAGAGTAGGATTTAGTGCTACTGTCCGGGCAAAATTTCCCTCATAGCACACTGTATGCTGTATGCCCAGTCGGAGCAGAACAGTCAGACGTTAAACCACATTTCATATTATTTATTTCCTTACCACACGGAACAAATAACAGACCAGACAATTTCGAGGACTCCCTCGCCCCAGTCCGAGACCGAACCATGGGATCTAAAGTGAGCAGCGTTCACTCACTGAGCCAACTTGACTCCAAAACGAAAAAAGACAATTAAAATTAACAAATAACCTTGCTTTTTATGTTTTCTAGGTGGCAGCCATTGGACCAACAACAGAATCAGAATTATTACAATATGGTATTACAATATATGGAGTCGCAGAAAAACCAGACCCTGAATCGTTACTGAAAATATTAAATAGGGAAAAAAATATGCAAAGATAAATGTGATATTTTAAACTGTCGCTTAAAGTATTAATGCATCGTTTTTAGTGCTATAGGAATCACATGTAATTTACCATATTGTGAATGTAGAATCTTTAATAAGAATATCAGTCCTAAAATGGTTTACACAGATATGTGCAATTGAAATTTTCTCGATCTATGCTATGCGAAAAGCCTGTGGCCATTTTGTGGTCTGCAGAAATTTATTGATAGACCTGTTTTAATTCAGGTCGAGACATTCTTAAAGTAATTAAATGTTAAATAATTAATCTGAGTACATATTAGCTTCGATTAAACCTTGAGTAAATTTCATATTTTAACGAAAAATGAAAAGAAGCATGATATTGCAGGGCATTTTTTAGGGATTTAAAGTGGACCTGTTAGTGGGAAAAGAAATTGAACCATGTGTTAGTCCCGAAATTACCTTGTTTTTGTCGAGGGGACGTCTCTCCCTCTCCCTCTCGATATATATATTACCCAATGATTGTTTTCTATATAAATTGTGTTATGTTTATTGAAGACCCTGTTTTATGCATCACAAATGCTGCATGGTGATGGTGATAATTGAATAAAATGATTCTAAGTGCTTAATGACTGTAAGAGAAATGATTTTTCTTGTAGTAATAAATCCAATTTAAGGTATTTTTGTTATTATATAAGCCTTTTGTTAACCGGTGCTAATTTATATTCTTAATGATATTAATAAAAATGATTTTTTATTATGTCTGCCTTGAAGAACTTTATAGTTTAAAATGAAAGTACAATTTTCTATGATGCTAGGGCACATCTAAAAGTGTAATTTCAGAAATTCGGATTGGTTGAATGTTTTTTATGTTGTTTATGATGCAATCTGATTAAAACACAGATCCTATTTCGTTTCGTTTTTTATAGTTCAAAATTTCGTTTTACTGGTCTATACTACAGTAGGATCTGGAAGAGTTGTTACATTACAAGCGTTTTGGTTAAAGTGAGGTATTAGCCAATGTAACGGTCTGTTATAGCCAATTTTTAGAGTTTGATGCACGGAACTGTGGGTAAACCACTAGAAACGTCAACGCTGCTTGATTAATCAATGTCTGGTCTTCCAGTACAACCGGTCAGATCTTCAAGTAGTGTAGGCCATGAAAGTATAAAAAACGAAACGAAATCATCAAAGAATGTTGTTGCAGAAATCTGGAAAGGTTGCCTGTTTATTTTTATGAATGAATGGATTTAATTCTTCTAATAATTGTTTGTGATCATGATCTTTATGGGGAAAGTTAAAGATGTAATATTTAGATACAGAGCTGTCCGTTTTTGTTATAATAGTTCAAAAATAAATTGCTTTATTCTGTACATAGTTCTGAGTGTTGGAAGGTTAGTCATTAATGTACCAACGGTACTTGACAATCGAGACTAAATCCATTTAACTTATTGTCTTGACACTTTGCATACTTATTCCTTATACCCTAAGGGTCATCCCTATTGTTTTTGATGCATGCCCAATCCCTTGGCAGCCCCGATTTCCTACATCTATGACAGAGAGAAACAAGGCAGGAAAATCTCTGGTCAAGATCCGAAATATAAAAAAAATAATTATATTCATTCAGTTTATTGCATACAAAATAAATTTTAACAGAGACTTAGGTATATCTGTGGAATTAAAAAACAAAAACCTTGGAAGAAAATGATATAAAGCATTTGTCAAGTATATTAGAATTAGAAACCATTATGTAATCTGAACGTATAGCAAATATAAGTAGCAATTACAGGTACGATGACGCAAATTACAGGTGGGATAACGTTAATTACGGGCGGAATAATGTTAGTTACAGGCAAAATTAAAGGAGGGATAGGGTAACGTTAATTACAGGAGGAATATGATAACGTTAATTACAGGCGGCATAACGTTAATTACAGGATGAATATGATAACGCTAATGATAGGCGGGACAACGTTAATTACAGGAGGAATAGGATAACGTTAAATACAGACGGGATAACGTTAATACAGACGGGAGTGGATAATGTTAATTATACGCGGGATAGGATAACGTAAATCACGAGCGAGATAACGTTAATTACAGGCGGGATAACGTTAATTACAGGCGGCATAACGTTAATTACAGGCGGGATAACGTTAATTTCGGGCGGGATAACGTTAATTGAATTTGGGATAGGCAAACGTTAAATACAGGCGAGATAACGTTAATTTCGGGCGGGATAACGAAAATTACAGGAGGGATAGGATAATGTTAATTACTGGGAGATAACGTTAATTACAGGAGGGATAGGATAATGTTAATTACTGGGAGATAACGTTAATTGCAGACGGGATAAGATAACGTAAAGTACAGGGGGGATAGGATAATGTTAATTACAGGCGAGATAACGTTAATTGCATGAGAGATAGGATAGCATTAATTACAGGCGGGATAACGTTAATTACAGGCGAGTTGACGTTCATTGCAGGTGGGATAAGATAACGTCAATTATAATTAATTCACCCCATATTGTTACATACTATAAAGCAGCTGTGAGTTAGAGATACAATTAGTATTTATATGTGTTACACATGCATTAATTAAGTTAGTTAATTAGTCACTATCTCCTCATATTATTAGATAATATTATATGATTGTCCGTTAAATGAAGGCTACTAAGGTCGATAACACATTGATCAACTATAGTTACTCTTTCTTCACACAGAACATCGCTTTCGAAATCTGCCCGGCTTTCAATTTGGAAATGGCCGTCTCATACTGATTCAAAGTGAAAATTTCAATTCCAAGTCTTTTGAAGTCTAGGTATTTGTCCGCCATATCGCTGACCAGAGTTACGGCTTTTGTAAAGCAATACGGGTTAATCTGGACGCCGATTATCGATAATTCTTTGAACTGAATCTGAGCAGGCTTAACTTTAATTTCGGCAGTAGGTGGCGCGCAACCAAATATGAGCAGTTTCCCGCCACTTTTCAGCATATAGAAGGCCATTTCAACTGCTTTTGAATTGCCAGTACAATCCACCACGATATCAAACCCGTCTTCACTGGCTTCTTTTCCCTTGAAACTTTCCTCCAGGGCACTTGGGTGAAGGACGTCAAATCCCAGTCCTGCATCCTTGGCAAGCTGTCGTCTGCCATCTGCAACTTCTACCATGGTAACGTTCCTGAAACCGCGGTGGTGTAACATGGACGCCCAAAGTAGACCAATGATTCCTGCGCCCATGATTAAAATGTTGCTGCCATCTTCCACCTTCCCTAGCAACTCGTAACCATGGATGATACAAGAGCAGGGTTCACACAAAGCAGCTTTATCCAGCGGTAAAGAATCTGGAATTGGGATCGCCTGAGTACCTGGCACCAAACAGAAATTAGAAAATCCGCCATCAACCATAACACCAATAGCTTGAGCCAAGCCGTCCTTGCAGAAATGCGGTTTCCCACGTCTGCAAAATTCGCAACCTCCACAAATTGAATTGACCTCTATGGCGACTCGTTGTCCAACAGCCACGTTCTTTACGTTCTTTCCGACTCTAACAACCTTTCCGGAGAACTCGTGCCCAAGAATTACAAGATCAGATGACCGGAATTCTTTCTGCATAATATGAAGATCGGTTCCACATACTCCAGCATGTGAAACCTCCACCAGAACATAGTCATCAGTAACCTCCGGGACTTTAGCAGTAACATGCTTCAAGGTCATATCAACTTTATTCCATTGTAAGGCCTGCATCTTGAAATTTCAATCTGAAGGAAAACAAATATCGTGTTTTAATGATATATAAAAATGGCTTTCTGACGGTCAAATTGTCTCGGACAACACATCACAACTTGTTGTATTTTTTAAGCGTCAATGAGATTAGGGGCGAGTTGTCTAAGGCTAGCGTTTTTAAATCATAAGGGCTGATATTGTCGTGGTGTCTACCCGTTGGTTTTACGTGAACAGAAGCCCCCTAGCCATCACATATGGTGGGCTTTCTCACTGCTAAAGGCCCATACACAATCAAAGTCAACGAATAAAACATTCTCTCTCTCTATGGGGGGGGGGGGTGGATGGCCGAATGGTTAGCACATGTGCGCTGTATCATAAGGTCTGTCATTTAGTCAACTGGCGTGGTTTCGATTTCGCGGTTGTACATGACAAGGAGTAGGGTCGCCCGTCCAACCTCGTCTCGTGCGTTGTCGCTGGGCCCTCCCGTTTCCTCCCACTGCTAAAGAACCCTATGCGCAAGCGAATTATTGAAATAAAATTGAACCATATGTTAGTCCCGAAATTACCTAGTTTGTGTCGAGTGGACGTTAAACCCTCCCTCTCTCTCTCTCTCTCTCTCCAAGCAATGCCTACCTTTAAACGGTTTTAATCCCTATATTATACCGTGTATGACATGTTGTTGTATGACACAATAGGCCCAAGTGCAGTAAATAGAATGAATTTATTTGGCCTTGAACTATATTCAGTGTAGATAATGTTTTTATCGAGATCGTGTATGTCACCTAATATTAAGTCACACATGTGGCCTTTTGGATACGGTGGTGTATTTACCTTCCTTCAGAGGGCGGGGTGGCTTTTACAACACGACCCATCACTTAACCAATACTTAGGACAGTGCCTGGATTGCAGACAGGGACAGCACGCAAACCAACGAAAAAAAATAAACTATAACTAAGTTAAAAATTCATTTGTCTTTTTTAAATCAGTTATTGGGCTTGCCTGATGAAAATAAAAATGGCGGCTCCAACCGGGTGGAGGTCGGGACTGGGCTTGCCTCCTGAAAACGAAACTGGACAAGTGTCGTATTTAAAGATACATTATGGAAGATTAGATAAAGAGCTGGCAGTTCTCACTATAATAGTTAAAAACTAGATAATGTAAAGTGAATATGCTGAAATTTTCAGTCAAATTACTTTACTCTGAACCGAGATATCAGCCTCGACCATCATTACTAAAGCCGGTACTATAAGAAAACGAAGTCAACCGCTAAACGCCCTCGCCTAGTCTCCCTCCAAGGCGCCCATGACCTCCGCACTGTCCTATCTACATTTCATTTCTGCTTGTAAACCCTTTCTAGACAAAGGATGATCGAAGAGATTTTACAGATGCCTATATTGCATCATAACTCAAGCAAAGGGCAGTAACTAATGACTTCCACGTGGCCGTTGGTCGTGTCAGACCAGTGCCAATGTCATAATCTGATAAGGTTAATAGATTTCATGATGGAAGGTGTTAACTAACATTTTTCTACAAAATCTCCAATTATGTAACACGCCTGATATCACTTTTAATTGAAGTATTACATCCATCCCTAGACTTGCCACTAAAGTTGCAATTTCATATTTTTAAGTTATATTTTTAAAATTTATTAAAATAAAGCCTTAAAATAGATGGTATCTATAAACAGTCCTACCTTGTTAAAGAATAATCCTATTAATCCTATAATTCACTATTGCCAGTTGAGAAATTGGCAAAAATATCATTTTCATCTTCAAATTCAAACGTTTGAAGATAACTACTCCATGTTGGAGAATAGAAAACAAGGGAGGTAATTGGGAGGTAATTGTGTTATTATTTCCGGTGTAAATGAGTTTTAAGTGTGAGAATGACACCTATGATCGTATAATAGTGAGTTGACAACCTATTGAGCAAAAGACATAGAAATAATTATGTTTTGACTTTCTTAGAAAATATGAAATTGTAACTTTAAGCAAAATAATGGTAAGGGGGTGGGGTGGCACAGGGTCTTTTCTAACGTAAAGGATTGTTCTCAGGAAATATCCACGATCTACAAGACAAGCCCCGTGGAAACTAGTTCAACTCTGAACGTAAGTTCTCTTTACACTCGCCTATAGAAACTAGTTCAGCTCTGAACGCAAGTTCTCTTTTATAAAATGCATCTAATGTTTTAATCATTTCGTTATCTATAATTTGGCGATTAGAAAATCCAACAACTAGACGATGTTCCTTGCCAGGCCCTCCGTCCATCATGGGGAAATAATCACTGAAAATCGCGCAGAACTTTCTCGGCCACCACCGGCATCGAAATGAAATGAAATGAAATAAGGTTTAACGTCCTACTGTTCTGCTCCTAAACTGGGCTAATGAAGACAGGCATACGCCATACAGTGTGCTATGAGGGAAATTTGCCCGGGCAGCGGCGCTACGGCCTACTCTTATATCGAATTCCAACTGCCAAGGGATCTTTTACGTGCACGCCAATATGTACACGGAACCTCGGTTTTTCGTCCCATCCGAACGACTAGACAGCTGTCCTTGTCGGGCCCTCCGTCCTGCATCACTGACAAGGGGAAACCACGCCGGAACACCGGCATCGAACCCCAGGATCTCCTGGTTAATGAGCCAGCGCCCTACCCACTGAGCTAGCGCCCTACCCACTGAGCTAGCCCCCCCCCCCCCCAAGCCAGCCATGTATATAAACAGGGCCCTGTTTGTCGAAATCTTAACTAAAGATAAAATCCAAATTTTAGTAGACACTTCAATTTTGATTGCTTAGCACTGAAATCAATCTAATATTATTCAATCAAATTACTAAAATTTGGATTTTATCTTAGTTAAAATTTCGTGAAACAGGCCCCCAGAATGACAACTTACAATTTTTGAGTATTACGATGTTGACTGAACACTACTGATGTGAGACGAGAATAAGTCGAGGTTGTACAATTTGTTTCCTGACTTGAATCACGAGTTGCAAATAACTCAAGGGAGACTGGAGTTATCTAAACTTTCAATGATTGTAATATTTATATATTATGTCGTGTTGACACTGTCATATAATATCACAAACCTGGGCTGGTTTCTCGAAATTTTAACTAAAGATAAAATCCAATTTTAGTAGATACTTCAATTTTGATTGGCTAAGCACTAAAATCAATCTAATATTATCCAATCAAATTTCGTGAAACAGGCCCCAGAGAGTTTGTATAATTTAATGTTCATGAATGATTCAGTGTTATAGAGATGGTGATTTTTTTGATTTTTTTTTAAACATCAAAACGGATTGCCCTCGGATTTCCCGCAGGCCTTGATCTATATTTTTGCCCCTCAGCTTTGGGTAATACGAACCAATATTGTTATAAATTTTAGTCTGTTTAAACACGTACACGGAAAACGGGTTTCATATTATATTTGTCATGCACTGAGAAATCAATTGAAATTTAACGTCCCCCTTTCTGCACCGACTGGGTTAATGAAGACGGGCATACGGGGGAATTGTGCCCGGATATCGGCGCTACAGTCTACTATTATATCGAATTTCAACTGTCAGAGGTTCTTTTAATTACGTGCACGCCAACGGGTTCGCAGGTGCTATGAGGGAAATTTTGCCCGGGCAGCGGCACTATGGCCTACTCTTATATCGAATTCCAACTATCAAGGGATCTTTCACATGCATGCCAATGTATACACGGGGTCTCGGTTTTTCGTCCCATCCGAACGACTAGACGCTCCCCTTGCCTAACCCTACGTCCTGCTCCACTGACAAGGAGATACTACACTTATATTAATAAGCTTGCTGTCTGAAATTGTGAAGTAAAGTTGATACATATATTTTTATATTTTCGATTCACTTATATTATATTTACTTAAACATACATTATGCAAGAACTAAATCTGTCTATTGCAGGTCTTTCTTTAGGCCTGAAATGTTATCTAAATTATTAATTAGACATTAATTAACCTATCCAGACCATAATCAACTCCCGATGGCATCACTAGCCTGCGATATTGACTGGATTATGCTTCCATTTGCTGAACGACTTCCATTCATAATTTAATCATCAAATGGATGATCGACACTATGTTTTTTATTGTACAGACTTTAGTAATGATGATCGAGACTAGGCCGAAATTCCAATCGCTTAAGCCTCGGTTCATAGTGTATCAATTTGACTGAAATTTTCAGCAAATTGCCTTTACATTATGTAGTTTTTAACTATTATAGTGGGAACTGCCAGCTCTTTATCTTATCTCCCATAATGTATCTTTAATAAATAATAAAAGTCGATATAACAAACTGCAACCCAACCACATTGATTACATATCTCGACGATATACGGACGGCTTTTATTTTTAGTTCATATACTATTCAAAAAAAGTAGGGGATATTTGATTTTGGGGGCATAATACTAAAATATGCAAATGACTACGAAAAAAGTCACTATAGAACCTAACAGAAGAAACATTTCCAGTTACATGTGACGCCCAAACGCACCAATAGCTACCGCATGGAATGCAGGTGATGCTTGGGATCATCATGGGGGTCCAACCCAAGATTTGCACGACTCTGACTTTGAATGTTACAGTCATTGTGGCATTGAATTCCAGGGTGGAAACATCAGTTTAATTGTTTTAGTGACCAGAAAACAAATTTTGATATGCGTCGGCTTACCCAAAATGAAAGGTTACGTGCCCTTGGCATGCTACAGATCGGCACAACACAGGCGGTTGTGGCGCGGACGATGAATGTTTCTCAGTCTGTCATAAGCAGGCTATGGTCCAGATACCGTGATACACAATCTGTACAGGACAGACCACGCTCAGGTCGACCAAGGGCGACAACTCAAGCCCAGGATCGATTTATCCGTACCTTGGCCTTGAGAAATCGTGTCATCACAGCAAATCAGATCAGCGCTCGTCTTCAAACAGACACTGGTGTGAGAGTGAGTGGCCAGACGATTCGGAATCGACTGCATAGGGGTCACCTTCGCGCCCGACGTCCTCGCGTGATCCCTTGTTTGAGAGATCATCACATTCAGGCAAGACGTCGTTGGTGTAGGGATCGTCAACACTGGGATAATCGACGCTGGAGCAATGTGATGTTTTCAGATGAGTCAAGGTTCACTGTTGATTTTTTGGACAGACGTGGGAGGGTGTGGCGTCGTCGAAACGAGCGCTTCCAAGACGTTAACGTCATCAGACATGATCGATTTGGGGGTGGTTCTGTTATGGTGTGGGGAGGCATCACTGTTGCTGGAAGAACGGCTTTACATGTTGTTGCAGGGCGTGTTACAGGCCAGTACTACCGGGACAACATCTTGGCAGTCCATGTTGTGCCGTTCGCACGACGTCATGGCCGCCGTTTCATCTTCCAGGATGACAACGCAAGATGTCACAGGGCCAGGATCGTTACAGGTTACCTCCAACAACAGAACATCACCACATTACCTTGGCCAGCACTGAGTCCCGACCTCTCCCCCATCGAGCATGTCTGGGACATGCTTGGACAGAGGTTACGTCAACGTCAACAACGTCCTGCCAATGTCCAAGAACTTGCTGCTGCGTTGCAACAGGAATGGGACAATCTGGACCAAAATGACCTTAGACGTCTCATTAGGAGTATGCCACGTCGGATCAATGCTTGTTTGGCAAACAGAGGAGGATTTACCCGTTACTGACTTGGTTGTGATGCTGTGGTAACTTTGCTGTTTGACCCCGGGTATCATTTTACCCTTATAATGGTCAGTCTGTGCCTTACTTAGTCTAACGATCATTTGGAATAAATCGATGAATGTGAACTTCATTTCATTTTGTCATTTGTTTCTTCGTCAGTTTCATTAGGTGACTTTAATAACACTTAAAAATCAAATATCCCCTACTTTTTTTGAATAGTATATACACTTAAAGATGCATTATGTAAGAGCTAAATCTTCCCATTGCAGGTCTTTATTTTGACATGTTATCTAAATTACTATTTACTCTTAAGTAATTACTATTTACTATTACTATTTACTCTTAACACAACGAGCCAATAATCAACACTCTAGACATCGGATGGCCGGGATTTAAATGAATTTGAAAACACACAAGATTTTAAAATTTAACGAAAAAATGGATAATTGAGACTTAGTCTCGGTTGACAAGTGCCGTTGCTAAGATAATAAACGATCTATCCTTCATCTTCAAACAGTATTAACCACTCCCAGAATGAAAAGACATAATTTCTTTCAATCTTTCAAGTGGACGTTACACCCCCCCCCCCTCTCTCTCTCTCTCTCTCTCTCAGTAGACAACTTTTATGTACTAATATAAATATTATATATCCTTGACTTGGTTATCCATGTATTGCTAAATAGCATAATGTCGTGAATACGTGTGCAGCTAAATACTCCCCGTGAAATATGAGATTAAATCGGTGGATTTTAGGTAACCTATAAAATACAACACTAAGTCTATAGCCTAACCTTTAAACTTTAAAATACATAAATACATATATAAAAAATTTGCAGCATATTGACGCATTGACATTGAAATTAACGTCAAGGTTTTATGGGCCTACCTGTATCTTAAATGAAATGAATTGGGGTTTAAAGGAGCTAACTTCTAATCTGTTATAAAGTATGCTCGGCGAAATACGCGAAGAGTTAAAATTAAATGACAGTCTTTGGCGTTTGGCTATTCCAGTCTACGCTAGTAGTATTCTCCTGCGGGATATGTTTAAGCCTCGTTCATCGAGTTGCTTCATTACAAATGGCGCTCGAATGCATTCTGGCACGCGATTCGTGTGCCAATTTTAAAATGTTCATTTTGTTCATATTAAATATGAAAAGCTCATCTTTTCACGGTAAGATAACAAAATCACTGTTGGTTTAAACTGACCAATAAGTCGTGTCTGCAATTTTGAAGACTGAGGATGATATCCTGTGAATATCGAAGTCTCATTATGTTCTTGGATTATCCTCTGTCAATGTTGTCGTTGAGCAGACAACAAGCCGACAGCCTGTTAGTACCAGTGTGTGATGCCTTTGTCCTGCATGCTTCCCATGGGTGTTTTTCAAGGAATCCAGTATTTTTCTAGTAAGATTGGTTGTCTCTACATTCCATATTATTGCCATACTTTTATTGGAAATAACTAAATACTTTAGCCCTTTAACGATACATTCCCGGGTACAAACTGGGTGATTTGATGATATATTTGGACTAAAAACATATTCAAACTAATTAATTTATCATAATTTTGCTTCAAATCCTTCTCAAAACATTGCAATTGTCGGGGAATACCCTGGCTATAAAAAATCGACCAAAAGAGGTCATGTTTGTGTCACGTGACTCACCTCTCTCGGTACCTAGCAACGCAAGCAAAGTCGGAGGAGAATTCATTGCATACACAAGACGATGTTGTCTTTAATCTCTGACTATTTATTACAAATATCGAAGCCTTATTAAATTTTCGAAGTATCCACTGCCCGTGTCTTTTTCCGTGATTTTTATCTCAGAAAGTGTTGTACGTCTAATTCTTCATAAAGTTTATCAAAATGTACATCAAGCGCTCAATCTCCGCGTGCAACCTTCGACGTCACGCGTGCAGACACGCCTAATCGTCGGGCTGTCGATTAGGGATACTCTTACATTTTTTTGCTGTATCCTTTCCATGAGTGTTTTTCAGGGAATCCAGTATTTTTCAAGTAAGATTGGATATTTCTACTTTCCATATATACCAAAATAACCACCCGATAAATACTTTTCTGTGAACGTAGCTTTAAGTCTATGGCGTATGATTCAAATAACAATAATATTCTATCCACGACACGTAACTCAATACGTTAAAGAGTACACGGCGACCCAACGTCATTTCTATACTAACACATGGTTCAATTTTATTTCCATAATTTGCTTGCGCGTAGGGACCCGGGGAAAACCCACGGGGTTGACAGGCAACCCTACTCCTTGTCACGTAAAACCGGGGAATCGAAACCCCGCCAGTTGACTGAATGACAGACCGTAGATACAGCGCGCGCGTGCTAACC